AAGGGTTCGCATGCGCCCCCCGCCCATTTTTCGGCACGCCCCATCGCGCGCTTCGTGGCCGCCCCGCAAGGAGCTCCACCGAAGGCCGCAGTGGCAGGGTTCGCATGCGCCCCCCCGCCCATTTCGGCACGCCCCACGCGCGCTTCGTGGCCCCATAGCGAGCCCCACCGAAGGCCCCACTGGCAGGGTTCGCATGTGCCCCCCCGTCCATGTCGACGCGCCCCTCGCGCGCTTCGTGGCCACGTGGCGAGCTCCGCCGAATTCCCCGCAATGGCAGGGTTCGTGTGCGCCCCCAGCCCATTTCGGCACACCCCTCAATTCGGCACACCGCTCGCAGGCTTCGGCTCTATAGGGAGCTCCGCCGAAGGCCCCTGTGGCAGAGTTCGCGCGCGCCCCCGCCCTCCGTCTCATCTCCCTCGCGGTGCTCGCAGGAACATAATTATGGCGGGTTCTTTGTTGAAACTGTTTATGAGTTTTCTGGGCGCTCGATTTTGGAAGCCTTCCGAAAACGGGAGTTCTTGAAAGATTGCAGCGTGCGCGCGCGACGACGCGCGCGCGCACTTCGTCTCGTCCTTTGCAATGGGTTCATGAAAACTGAAAATTTTAAATCAACGAGTGCGCGCGCATGCGATTTACTGCAGAAGAAGATGGCGGGGGGGGGGGGGGGGGGGCGAAACCAGCTCGGCTGGGATGCTACACGTGCGTGCTCAGGATGGACGGTGGGGCAAAATCGCATGCATATTGCAAGACGAAACGATGTGCCGATAGAGCGGGGGGGGCCTAATTTTCAAACAGGGAACCGCTCTGCGCCGAGCGCGACCACCTCCCACGCTCGTGCAAACATCCCGCCCTCCCACCCGCATCTCGATCGGCAAAACTCATGAGGTCGCGACTGCAGTTGCAGCGTGGAGCTCGTCCGCGAATTTCATCGAACTCACTGGCGCGCGGACCGTCGCGGCGCGGGCAAAGTCCATCTTGCGGGAGACAGCGCGGGCGACAGCGTCGACAAACGACAAAGGGGCGGTTGGCAGAATTCGTAAGATCGCGAGTGCAGTCGCAGCGTTGAGTTCCTCCGGCACTTTCGTCTCGTTCGTTGGCGCGCGGGCGCTTGTCGCGCGGGAAAAGTCCATCATGCGGGAGACAGCGCGGACGGCGGCGTCGGCAAACGACGATGAGAATGATCGCAGCGCTTCCGACGGCAATGGCGACGATGACGGCGCCCCGCGTGGTATTATTTGACAGGGGCCATGCCTCTGGCAAGCGCGCGAGGGCATTGGAACAAGTTCGACGTGCGCGCACGGGGGCCTCCTTGGACAGGAAAGTTAAACAACAATGAATTGGGTTTCCGAGGAATCCGCAAAAGCGCGCGACATGACATGTTGAAACTTTGTCTTGAGAAAGGCATCGGGTGCTATGATTTTGCGGTGAAGTCGCCGCGCGAACAAAAAGGTTTTGTAAAGATTTCGTATGGCGCGCGCGTGTGGTCCGCGTGGTATTATTTCATGGGTTTCGTGCATTGAGCTCATCTTAGATCAACGCATGTGCACCGCATGGTATTATTTGACAGGGATGATGGGGGGATCTGATACCAACTTGGATGGTATGTGTTCGCATGGAAAATGAACAAGGAGGCGGCAGACTCATATGTTAATTGCAGCGCCCAGAGGGGGAGTGGCACTCCCGGGGTGCTGGTGGGGGCGCTATCTAATTTCTTTGAAGAGGGGGGAATATATGTGGTGCAATATATGCGGTGCTTTCGATTTTAACAAACGAGTTGCCACATCCCATGCTCTTGCAATCCCACCCACCCATCCGCAACTTGGTTTGCAAAACCCATGCGGTGGCGATTGCGATGCATGCTTGGCGTTGGCTGGTGCATCTCTACGGCCGCGCCATCCCGAGCACGCGCGTGCAGCGGCCAGTTAGTTTGGCGCCACAGACGCGGCCGCGGTGGCGTTGACCGCTGGGCATAGCACTGCGAGTCGGCGAATTTGGCGGGCGCGGTATCATGACAACGCCGAATACGGTAGACGCGATGCTGATAGTGGCGATGGTGGTGACAATGTTCGCACCGACGACGGCGCGGCCAACGCAAGCGCCAATGCTGATCACGCAGACGATGATAACGGAGTCCTCTCGTCGGTGATGAAGGTTTTGGAAATCGTTCAACATGCGCGCTCGGCCGACGCGCGGGAGTGGCCCGCATGGTTTTATTTGACACGGATCGTGCCGCCCCAGCACGCGCGCAAGGGCGTGCGAATGATGTCGGCATGCAGCGCCAGAGGCCCGTTCGGCAGAGTTTACTGAACATGCTGACAACCCACTGGGTTTCTTACGATTTCGCAAGAGCGCGCGCGCAAGTTTGTGTTTGTTTTCTTCTTATGTTTGAAAGCTGATGTTGCGAAACCATATGATTTTGAATGTGGATTGGACATTCGGTTTTGCCATCGCTACGCAACTTACAGTTTTTGAAGGATTTCGGCAGGCGCGCGCGACGACGCGCGCGTGCGCACTTCGTCCCATTTTTTGCAAACGAAGCATTCTCGCGACGGCACGCGCGCAAAAGGCGTTCGAACAGTTTCGACATGCGCGCGCGCGAAACCCGTTTGGTATTATGTTCTAAAGCTGTTGCAGAACCGATGGTGTTCTTAGGAACTTGCAAAACGCACGTCTTATTGTTTGTGTTTGAGAATGACTGTTGTGAAACCACGTGATTTGGTATGTTTGTTGGACACTCGATTTTTTAATCTTTACGACACCGAAGGGTTTTGAAGGATTTCGGCACGCGCGCGTTCGCAGTGCGTCACACTTGTTGCAAAGGATTCTTTTTTTTTTCAAAAGGATGGCGGGGGGAGTCGAACCCAGCTCGGCTGGGATGGTATGGGTTCATATTTATGATGGACGATGGGGCAAAACCGCATGTAAATTGCAACGCGAAAAGTGTACCGATAAAACCTGGGGGGGGGGGGGTAATATTTTTTAAAAGGAATCGAGGGCGACGACGAGGCGGCGACGGCGACAACATAGCCGCCAGACCGCCACACTGGCCCAAACAATGGGCGGTGACGAGGCGGCGACAGCGGCCACATAGCCGCCAGAGAGGCACACTGACTCAGACGACGGGAGGCGACGAGGCGGCGACGGGGCGGCGACGCCAGCCACATACCAGCCAGAGCGGCACACCAGCCCAGCTCGTTGGAAAATAATTAAGAACCCCCCAGTGCAAACACTTTTTTGGGAGTCAGGCGAAGGGATTCGGGAGAGGCAGGAGGAGGAGAGGCAGGAGAGGGGCATAGGGCCTGGGAGAAGAAGCGGAGGCAGGCAGGAGGGAGAGGAAGGAGGATGGGTAGAGGGAGCGAGCGAGCGTGTCAGCATGCCGCGGTGCAGTCGAATCGATAACACCGCACACAGAATGGAGACAGCGGGAGGGTGGACTGAGAAGCCAATCCTTCACCCTTCACCCCCACTTGTGTCAATACCATGCAGTCACGTGTGGTGCCCCACCCCCTTCGGCAGCACCCGAACCTTTTGGGATGCAAGGATGTGACGCTGGTGGGCCGGGGGGGGGGGACACCTCTTCCCCCCCTTCATCCTCCTCCCCCTCCCCTCCCCCTGCTCCTACTTCCTCCTCCTTTCCCTTTCATCCAAATGTTGGCGGACCACCTCGATTTACCCCTCCTCCAGATCACGTTTCTTCTCCCCCCCTCCTTCTTCCTCCACCCCTCTCTGTGCACGAGATTCCGACAACGGCGATACGTTGAGCCAACTTGGCCTGGACACAATGACTCGTACGGACCTTCAAGATGAGAAGGGAGTTCTTTTTTTGACGTTCACATCCTCTGCAGCGCCTGGGCACAGCAGTCTGAAAACGGAGCGCCTGGGAAGACCCAGAAGCACCTCTCTCTCCACCAGAAGCAAGACATGAGAAGGGAGGAATGGAGAAGGAGAACGAGCAGCAGCAGGAAGAAGAGCAGGGGGGATCTGTCTTCTCCCTGCGCCAGCGCCTCCCTTCCTCTTAACCCCTCGCCCCCCCACGTGGCAACGCCGAGACCCTGGGCTGTAAGGCGACCGCGCAGGGGCTCCTGGTCCACCTCTTCATCCTCCTCCCCCTCCCATCATCCGACTCCTCCTCCCAGCCTCTTCCTGCTGCTCTTCCCCTCCACCTCCTCCTGCTCTCATCTTCGTCCTCAGGGTAGGTGCTCCACCTCTTCCCACTCCTTCCCCTCCCACCCTCCTTCCGCTCCGGCCGCCCCTCTTGGCACCGCACAGACCCTGGACACAATGACCTACTAGCATTGGGGGAGACGGTGAAGGAAGACAACGAGAAGACGAGAACAGGGCGAGGAAGATAATCCCGATATGCCAACGTTGAACGAAATTTGACAAATCACGACATGAATCTCGACCTCATCCTCCCCCATCTGGCGTTGTCTTAATGATTTGCGCATCCCCAAGACGTTTCGGGGGGTCCCAGGGCCCCCCCTCAGATCTAGCCGCTACCGCCCCCAGGAACCCTTCCCGGACCCCCCCAGGATCGCTCCAGGCACCCTCCCAGAGGGCACGTCAGCTCCAAGAAGCGTCCCCGACGATTCCAAGAGCGCCCTCCCTCCAAAACAGCGTCCCCGACGACTCCAAGATCACCGAATCCGAAGCCCCCCAGATCGGCGGCACTGGCCGGAGGCCATCACAGCATGACAAAAATCACGACACGCACCTCGACCCCGTCCTCGTGCTGAGATCTCGACCCCAGCGTCGCGCCCGATTTCACGAACCGGGGTCGGTCCGTGCAGGCCCCGTGGCCCGCAAGGAGATGCCTAAAGTTTGGTCGGGCCTGTCCCCCTACAGGGCGATTTTCGACGAAAAATTAGACATACCCCAAAAACACGCCAAAAATAATCAAACGAACTCAAAAATCGTCCCCAGACTATTTTTTAAGTATTCTTCCTGTAGAGGAACAGGCCCGACTTAAGCCTAAAGGCCCGTCGTGATCTCGATCACGACGCCAAGATGTCAGTAAGAAGCGGAGAGCCACCTCCTCTTCATTGGGAAACAGCCCAAACAGGAATGGGCGCCAAATGGAGGGGATGAGAGGAAGCAGGTGGACGGTATGACTTGATGCCGCTTGGGCGCGAAGGCGAGGATTGAACGTTGTCATCTGGATCGGGGAAGGCGGCACCGAGGCCTTGGGATGGAAGGCGATCACGCCAGGGTAGAAGGTCCAAAAGATGATGATGCAAGCAATCCAGAACGTGCACTTAGCATCCCCGCGGGCTGCGCTATCGTCGTACGACGAGGGCGATGGCGACGACGATGGCGGCGACGGCGACGAGGACGGCGACGACGATTGGCACGATGAGAGTGACGATGAATACGACGATGCCGACGACGACGGCGACGGCGACGGCGACGAGCGGCGGGCAGGCGACCCGCGGCGCGCTCGGCGGCTGGCCTCTGGCGCGTCGTCGTGCTGTCCGCCCTCGCCGTCGTCTTCGCCCTCGCCCACGCCCGCCCTCGCCTCTCCCAGCCGTGTCCTCGCCCTCGTCGTCGTCCTCGCCCTCGTCGTCGTCGTCGTCGTCGCCCTCCTGCCCTCCCTCCTGCCTCCCTCCCTTCCTCCTCCTCGCCCCGTCGCCTCCTCCTCCTCCTCCTCCTCCTCCTCCTCCTCCTCCTCCCCGGCCCTGCCTCCCCGGCCCTGCCTCCTCGTCGCCTCCTTGCTTCGTCCGTGGCTCCAGAAGTGTGTGATTTCGTTCGCCCCTCATCGTTTTCCTCGTCCCCCGTCCTCCCCCCTCCGACTTCATCCTCCTGCTCCTCCTGCCGCCTCCATCATCCTCCTCCTCCTGCTCCTCCTCCCTCCTCCTCCCTCCTCCTCTTCCTCCTCCTGCTCCTCCTCCTCGTCCTCCTCCTCTATCTTCCTCCTCCTCTATCTTCCTCCTCCTCCTCCTCCTCGTCCTCCGTCCTCCTCTCCTGCTCTCCCTCCTCCCCTCTACCTCCTTCTTCTCGCCCCCCTCATTTTCCTCCTCCATCTTCCTCCTCCTACTCCTCCTCCTCCTCCGCACCCCTCCTCCCTACCCACCCTCCTTCCTCGCCCTCTGCGTTTTCCTCCTCCTCCTCCTCTTCCATTTCCTATCCCCTTTCCTTTTCCTTCTGGTCCTCCTCCCCCACCTCCTCCTCCCTTCTCCCCCCCCGGCTCGTTCACTTCCTCCCTCTCCCTTTGCCTCCCCTCTCGTCCTTGTCCCTCTCATACCCCTTTAGTCGTCCTCGTTCCGCGCCCTCCTCGTCCTCTTCCTTCACCTCCTCCTCCTCTCACCTTGTCCATCGCCATTTTGGCTCAAGTCCGTAGCGTTTCGCTCAAGAGTTGTGATTCGGGCGTGGGGGAGGTGCGGCCCCCGACCGCTCTCGTGTCTCCCGAATGGCCTGCCCAAGCCTGGAGGCGTTGCTGCATACCGTGTACTGTACGCGGGTTTTCCCTCTGAGCACAGCACGATTTCTTTTCACTCTCGAGTACGGAAGGCCCATAGCGCCGTTTCATGCCTCTCAAGGCGGTGCGCCGTCCTCAGGTCACAGGCAGAGACGCCAGGCGTGGGCTAAGCCATGGTATTGCAAGCAGTGCTGGTCGCATCAGACTGGCGATAGGTGGTGGAACAGAGCGGATCTCGATCACTGCTCGCTTTGCAAGCAGCCCAAGGCGTCAACATTTGCAGGGATCAAGCAGCCAGCCGCTCCCTCTGTGTCGGCACTTCAGGCCCCAGCGCAGCCCGACCCCAAGCTCACTGCCGAACTCAAGAGGTTGCGCGATGAAGTCACACAGCTACGGAAGAAGGAGGCCGCAACAAAGCCCGGCGGCGACACCATGGATGTTGACGAGGGCGAGGACAGCGACGCAGACTTACGCAAGGAGCTCGGGGCAGTCACCGAGAAGCTGCAGAAAGTTGCAGATGTGGAAGGCCCAGCGTTGAATGAGTTGCAGGAGAAGTTGCGAGCGCGTCAGACCACCTTGCGAGGTCAGATCACTCGCGGCAAGTCTTTGGACACGCGGCTCAAAGATATGTCCTTTCAGCACGCGGAGTTGGTCAAACAGCGGGAGCGCCAGACCGAAGTGGTCGAGGATCTCAAGCAGGTAATGGCAGAAGCGCAGAAGGCTGTGGAGGACGCGGCCAAGGCGCTTCAGGCCACAATCACGGAATTCACGGAGTTGGAGGCCGAGCGGTGCCAGTTGGTGGCTGGCGCACCGCGGGCCCCTGAGAAGCCCATTGACGACGGCGCACAGGGGCTCAAGCAGCTCCTTGCCAGCAACCTCGCGGTCGAGAAATGCGGCGAATTGCTCGGGGGCTTTGGTGGCAAGCCGGCTTTGGCGCAGCAGCTGTTCGAGTGTTTGGCTGAGGCGAAGGCGGCGGAGGAACTGCGCCGTGCTCAGCAGCGTCGCGCCGCCGAGCAGGCGAGGCAGCGGCAGCAGCAGCAGCAGGAGGCCGAGCAGGCCGCTCAGGCTGCTGCAGCTGCGACGGCTGAGCACTGGCAGCGCCGGGAGCAAGCCATCCCGTCGGAGGCGGGCGATCCAGAGGTGCTGCGAGAATCCCTCCGCTCGGTCGAGCAGCAGGTGCCAGATGATGAAATTGAATTGCGTGAAGCAGCCGAGAGGACGGGCGCCATGTTGTCGTCGTTCGCGAAGCGGCACAAGGCGGCGTAGTTGGCAATTGGCGTTGTTTGGCATGTATGTGCGCTTATTCTCTTTTGTCGGCATCATGGCGCGCATTGCTACTGTCAACAGTGCGTCGTTCAACCCGCTTGCTGAGCTGTTCGAGGCTGGTGCTCCTGAGCTAGGAGATGAGCAGCCTATCATGTGCGTGCAGGAGCATTTCCAGGATGCATGAGAAGATGCATCTGCATGCAGGAGCACGTCACGGCTGCGAAGATGGGATCAGTTCAAGGACGCATGAGTGCGGTCGGCTACCACGGTGCGTGGGCCCCAGCCAAGGAGACTGGCCACGGGCATGGCACAAGCGGTGGCGTGGCGGTGATTGCGCCGAAGAAGGTGCAGGTGACGGCTGGGCCGTTGCTGGCAGACACCAAAGGTGTGCTGCTGGACGAGAGAATTGTTGCGGCGCTAGTGCACACTTGGTTCAAAGGAGGCTTCGTGGCAGTGTCAGCTTATCTCCACGTCAGCGAAGAGATGGGACATAATGATATGACATTGCTCACGATGTTGACTCAGTATCTGCTCAGAGTGCGAGCAAATGGGTATGAGTGGATTGTTGCAGCTGCTTACAACATGGACCACGCTCTGATGCAGCCATGGGCGACTTCAAAAGGAGGAGTTCTAGTGGCACCGTCTGCGCCCACATGTATTCAGAATACACCAAGTACGACGATCGATTACTTTATCATGTCTGAAAGGTTCGCCATCCGTTCTGGAATGATTGAAGTGGTGGACACTGCGACGATCTGGCCACATAGGCCTGCGCTGATGAAAATTCACGCTAAAGACGCAGTCTTGAGGTGCCGGGTTGCTGATCAACCAACACCTCTTCCTGCACTGGCCAAGCCAGGTTGTGGGCGGTTTCCGCGTGATTGGAAGCAGTTTCGTGATGATATTCAACATGCCACGACAGCTGATCAGTTGGCAAATTTCTGGGACTTAACGATTCAGGGTATCGAGGCTGAGCTTTTGGACCGGCATGATGTTGTTGGACCCCGTCGCCACGGTTGCGAAGGCAGAGCTGGGGAGCACCAAGCTCGTTGGAAGAAGCACCGCGCAGTCCCACAGCATCGGAAACCTCGACCCTCGTGCGAGTATGCAGCGTGGAGTTCGCGGCCAGGTGGGCCTGGCATCTGCGTAGTGTGCGCATCGCGCTGGGGTCGTACATTCCCAACCTTGACGCGGACTTGGACGAGCAGCCGAGGAGGTTGAAGCGCGTTGCCAAGGTTCTGATCGACACCGAGGTCTTCCTCGGCAGGATCCAGAGGCTCGACTGGGTTTTCGCCCACCTCGACGTGCTGACGGCAAGGTTTTTCAGGTCTGGAGTGGATGTGATAGGTGATCCGTCTACGCCCGATTTGATTGAGCGAGTTTTGCCCCTGGCCCAGGATGAGGAGGCCGTGTTTTTGGCCAGCATAGAGGGAGCCTGGAAGTCCTGGGTCAGGGAGGCGTTCCTCGACGGGGCCAAAGCTGCCCATCGTTTTACCAGGGTCTGTGGAATCCAAGAGGTGCTCACCGAGGAGCATCGGGTCCAATCTTTCGAGCTTGCCGACGATACGTGCCGCGAATGGTCCCAGGTTTGGACCACTCATTCTTGCGACGATTTGGAGTTGCCGAGCGATTCGAAGGATTGGGCGAGCCCGTCGCCGCTCGGGGTCAACGATCTGAGGAGATGGATTGCGCGATTTCCCCCGAAGGCGGCGGTCGGCTGTTGTAAAGATCCATCCTCTTGCGATCCAATACCTTTTTCTGATGCGGTGCTAGCCGCGCTTGCGTCGCTACTTATGCAGTGTGAAAGGGCACTCGTCTGGCCGAGCAAGCGCTTGGTGAGCGGGCTGGTCAGGCTGCCAAAACCCGACGGCGGCCACAGGCTTATCGCTATTCTAGACACGATTCTGCAAGTCTGGGGACGCATTCGGCGTTCTGTTACCGATGAGTGGGGGGCGGGGAGTCGTGCTCGGGGGTTTTGGGGGTCTGGGGAGCGTGGAAGTGCGTCGGGCGCTGCGTTCGATTTGAACCATTCGGCCGAGGTCGCCAGAGCCAGGGGCTGGCACTCGGTAGCCCTCTTGCTATACATGATAAGATGCGACGAAATTATAAAAAGCTCCTGGTCCTGTTTCAGACTGTAAGACAGGTCGGTTTCCCGCTCCGCCTTGGTTGGATGTTCATCTAGACTTATATTGCCCGTCGGGGATTGATGATTTCGGCTCGCTTTCGGGGCCATTCGTTTCTTTCCAAGGGGTTTTGGCTGGATGCTCGGCGGCCACCTCCATTATGATTGCAATGCTGATGCAACCAATTAAATTTGCGATTGAAAGATTTCCAGCCCAGGCGAGAACTTTAATGGGCGATGTCCCTCTGCGCTGGTCAGGCCCCGACCCGGAGCGAGGTGCGGTGGTCCTTGCTGCGGCCAGGGAGTGATGCCATCTTGTGCGCCCGATTGGCCTTCTGTTTGCAACCCAACAGGTCGGGGTTTGTAGCCGCCAGCTTGGCCGCTTCCAAGCATGTGGCAATGTCGGCCAAGTTGTTGGGAATGCGAGGATATGATCACATGCGAAACCTTG